GCTTCTCTGATGCTCTCCTCTTACTCTCTGGCAGCAACAGGACAGTTAATCAATCAAATATTTAAGCAGTGCTTCATTGCTCAGTGGGTAGTCCTAGATTATCTGCGGCTGTTGGCAGTGCATGGAGCAGCCACATTATAAGCCTCATCTCTGACTGGCATCGTCACGGGGCGCTCCTTGCTCTCTCTCTCTCTCTCTCTCTCTCTCTCTCTCTCTCTCTCTCTCTCTCTCTCTCTCTCTCTCTCTCCCCTCCCTTCCCTTGGCCTCTGCTCAGTCTTTGCCCACTCCCACTAACACTCCACATTTTGTATTCTTTTTCACTCATTTTCTGTCATTCTCTCGCTGTCCCTTGTTTTCCTTCTTGTTTTGCTGCACTCTATTCCCACTCTCTCTCTTTGTATAATTGTGGCTTTTCACATTGACTATCTGACAGTGAGCAATGCCCCTTAAAGAGCTCTCATCTTTCTGTCTTTGCCTGTTTCTCTCTTTTCTCCTGCTCTGCATTCTTTCTGGGGATAAGTCTGCCTGTCTCCCCACGGGGATCTCCATTGTGGATTACCATTCAGTTTTCGCCCAATTATCTAGTGGCTTTCGCTGCCTTTGACACATAATTATCAAAGGCCTAAATAATTGTCTTTATTATTGCCGGTGTTTAGATGTAGCGTGAGCAGAGCAGTCGCGAGCAAAGGAGCGTCACGGGGAGAGGAGAGAAATGAAGTATTTATCTCGAGCAGAGATTAGCTTAGCATGCTGTTAAATGATGTCTCGTCGCTTATTTCAACTCCTAGTCCAGATAAATAAACATGATTAATATGCCCCCCTTCCCTTCTTTGTATCCACACAAACACACACACACGGACTCCCATACACACACCCATTACATATCACATTCTATGTCAGTGGTGAAATAAGATTATACTCAACAGAAAGTACAGCAATTAGCTGGCTTTGTAGCAGGATGCAGCTTAAAGCGCTAAACACTGTACTTTGCCGAGGGCCATATGAGAGGTCAGGTACAAGATACAGGGGTTAAAGAACAGTCTCTCTGTGTATGTGTGTGTCACTGTATTTGTGTGTGTGTGTGTGTGTTTGTGTGGCTCCGATGTGTGGTGCTCGGCTATTTGATAGAGCTTGTGAAAAGCTGGAATTAGTCGAATTGTGCCAACCAGGGTGTCAGAAATCTGTGATGTTTGTGGAGCTCTATAGCAACCAGGCCCTCTGCTGAGGAATCAAAAGAGCAATGGTTTGTGAGGAGGAGAAAGAGAGGGGGAAAGAGGTTGAAGGATTGCATAGTTCATCCAGAGTTTGAATATATGTGGGGGTGAACTCAAGTTTGCGTCATCAGATGTGACTCAGCTTCAGAGGAATTTAAACGTAATGTGTAGATGGAGTGAAAATAAATCCAACTCACAAAATCCTTTAAAAGTGTGTTTCCATAGCGCACTTGTTTCTGATGCAAAATAATTCTCATAAGTAAAAAGAATTATATTAATGAGCCGGTAAAGATGCAGAAGAGGAATGGGGATGATTTACATTTCATCAGTGTACCCTAGAAAGTACATTAAGGAGGCTGTCCTTCAAACTCTTGTAGTGATATGAATTATTAGCCTTTAAGGTTGATCTTCTTCCTATTTTTTTAGAGTTTAGGCTTCAGATCATGAAGTAAACTTGCTCCGGAGACGCTGCTCTGAAACTGACTTCAAGGTCTGATCTCCATGTGAGCTGGGGAAAAAATACATTTATCACTTGGGGATCAGTAAAGTTTGTCCGTCTCTCCTCCGTCTTGCTCTTTGTCCTTAGTCCTTCTTAGTGCTCCAAGAATACTTTTGTTATCCATTCAACCTCCTCGAATAAACTTCTACATTACTCTGTCTTAAAATGTTTTATACTCCCTAATGTCTAACCCCCAAACCAAAGTTCAATCCACGTATCCAGCTGCTATAGCATAGATGGAAAGGCCAGCAGAGAGGCGGCAAATGTCTCAACATCTGTGTGTTGGTTTTAGCGCAACAAGTATTTCCACATGTTTTTCTTTCTTTTTCCCCGTCTGATACAAGACCTATCACAACAGCTGGCCTGTTTCCTTGTTAAAGCTGCAGTCTGTGGTTACACACTGGATTAGCACATCTAACTTTCTAGATAAAGATGGCTAACGCTGACGCACAAACATAGATGTGTACAACATGATGGGCCATGTGAGAATACGTCTCAGCCCTCTTGGGAACATGTGGCTTTATGGTTCTAGCTGGTTTGTAAGCTAACCTTGAGTCTCTTCCATCTAACAGAAGACACAGACACACTTAGATTTATCTTTCAACATGCAGCTAACCACAGTTATCATTGTGGCTTGTAAAACATGGGACCCAGTGGTGTCAGAATCATTGCGGTTAAGGGCCAAACTGCATAGCCACTCTCTCCTGGAGTCATTTTTTGTCAACCTTTTCCCCCAACTGTTACCACAGCAAACCACATGTCTGCTTGCATAGCTGCAATGAGAGCTGTGAGAGAAAATGATTGATGTAGCCAGACTTGAGAGATGAATTCTATGGTCTTTAATCTGCAGCTGAAGCATCATCAGAAAAACAGACTTTGTTTGGTGGAAGGTCCTGATCATTTGATCTATTGCTTTGAATAGCAAATCGAGAGAAACTTTGACACAATGTTGGATAGAGAGGGGAAGAGAGAAAGAAGTTTGAATAGAATTTCAAACCAAAAAATATTTACTAAGATAACATTAGTCTTTACAGGTGCCCTATCTAAAGAATTCCAATTGCAACTTTTAGATCTAAAGACCTCATAATACATGTTAATTAAAAATCTCCATTCATCTGTCTGCTTGATGAGATGTCAGTTTCTGCAAGATTGACCATGCACTGTCTAAGTTATTACTGTAGATGCAGCACTGAAGTTTCAGGCATGTCAATTCAGAACCACCTAAAACCCAACTTCACCTCATCTCTACCATCTGTGTCTTTTTCTTTGACTATACTGTACATACTGTTTCCTCGTCTTGGGACTGTCAGTCATTCATGGAAACTACCCCTTACTGTAATTGTCCAGTGCTTTTCTATCTGTTCTGATTCATACACTTCCTCTGGTTATCTTCACAAATATTCTTATTCTATTTCTTGTTCCATCTCTCTGAATATATTTAATATATTTTCTTAACTTTAAAGCATTTCATCTTGGCAAACATAGTTAACTTCCACCATTTTTCAAATATATTATAGCATATACAGTTACAGTTTGAATATTATGGTGAACCAAACCATGAAGTACTTGTTCCATCTGAAAGAAAAATGTTGGGCCCAAGAGGGACAAACAATATGACCAAGTAGAGACCTATTTATCCTCTCGAAAGTGGAAAATCTAAAGCTTCTGCCCAGACTTATATTTGACTGGTTTGAAGCCATGCACTTAGATTTTTCCGTGGGCAGTCGAACACTGCCTCCTGCTTCCTGGCCTCTGCTAGCTGCTATACTCTGTAACTAGCCAGTTTGGCTAGCGCCAGAAAACAGGACCTTGACTGACACTTCCAGTTTTTAAAGGTTGACTTTGCTACTCCCACGTACCGAGTTCTGCCAGAGAAAAGCTTTTCAACCAACCATGGAAGAGGGTGGAGAACATAGAAGGAGTGTGTATCTGACCGTGTGTTGGTATGTAATTGTGAGATTTTGTGTGAGCACCCGTGCTGTTTCCATCTTTGATGTCTATTGTATAACAGTTGCAGACTTAAACCATTTTTCTTACCTTCCCTCTTAGTCTGCTCTATCCCCCACTATGGTGAAGACTCCACAGTGGAAGCCTTATCAGCTGTATGATATATGAGTCCTTAGGGTCTTAATAGGTTCCATTTATCTCTATATACTCACACTTTAATTTGGCTGGGCATGGGAGGATGTATTCAAATGCCCACCTTCATTTTGATGTACAGCCAGCCAGTCTGCGCCGGTGCTGGCGGTAGATGACCAGTGTCACTTGTCTAAGAGGGGTAATTGCTTAGTTTTAGTCTCAGTGTCAGACTTTGATTCATGATGTTGTGGAACCTTTATACCCTCTATACCTGATCAAACCACAGCTTGTACTCAAGCCTTAACCCTTTTCTATTGTATTCCAACTATGCTTTTAAAAGCCCATATTTATTCAATAAATACAAGCAAGCACAAGCTAGATGATTATTTGCCATTATCTGTAAATTGTAGTTGGTCAGGTAACAACCAATAAAAGTGAGTTTCTGCACTGCTTGACTATCCTTAGTTCACAAGTCTTTTTTCCAAGCCCTACTGAATGTATACTGTAAGTGATTGTCAACCTATTGTTGTAAGTCCTGTTCTCTTTTCTTCCTGTTTTATCTTAAAGCAAGGCAGAGTGAAACAGCTCGTTCCCAAGGCCTGGCTTCAGTACTCCTTGGGGTGGGACTAGCAGTGTGGGAAGTCTATTGTAGTGCAGTAACAAGTTCTTTGTGTGACATTTTCCTTGGCGTTGACATTCAGAGGGGAATAGGAAGACGAGTCCGTGGACACCACATCCTCTGTGTCAAGTAAAGGGAAAGGGTATTAAGAATGGGGGCCGAGGTATCTGAACGTGCACAGGGAAGGGCATTTGCACAGAACGTGACAAGGACACGCTATGGTGGAAGAGCTCTTTCATATTTCACTTTCTACATTATGCTGTACACCAGGTCGAATCTGCGTCCGCTGGTTACAAATCTGTCCACTGGGCCACTGCTATCATTGTCAGGGGAACATTCTGACAGTGTGTGTTTGACAGGGAATAACATCTTAGTAGGGTACTACATACAATTGATATTTATTAAAACAAGTTAACACTTGTTTATCTAATTAAAACAGCACATTTATTTTCTTAACATGAATTCAAACCTCGCACAGCATCATGTCTCTTTTCAATCCAAAGTTGTATGAAATGAGCAGTTTGTTTCTCAAAAGTGAGTGATTCCATGCAGCCTTGGTGACTAACATTTGATTTGTTTTCTTTGGCAGATGAATCAGAGGGAAATGCAGGTGAAGAACAGAGTGTGCGCTGTGGCTCTGACCGACTCGGCTCACAACATCTGGCTACAGGACACCAGCAAAGGGACACTAGACTGGATGCAGCAGGTGAGATAACCAAATAAAAATGAATTTACTTTTATACAATTTCATACACTTTATTAAGACCAAGGGAAATGACAACTTTTCACTCGGTTTTTGTGAGACATGCTACAAACACATAGGCCCGAAAGCACAAACAGAATCCAAAAGACATACATTAATAGAGAGACGTCAGAGAGAAGGCAAAGGGAGACGGGCAAACTGTACAAGGGTCCATTCCATTTCATCTTGACATGTAAATTTCCCAGCTATGAGCGAAGGTATCCCAGCTTTCGCCTTACTCTATATTTATACCTTCAGAACCCTGTTGACCTACACAGGTACCCTGGACTAGCAGCTAGACTTAACACTCACAGAGAACCATTGTTTGCGTGTTTGCCCTCTGTGTCTTTTTTTTTAAACAAGCCCTGACTACTCTTCCTGGGTGCATGTCAAGGAATAACTAAGACAGTTAGACCTCCATGGTATGCATGTGTGCATGCATGCTGGTGTTTGTGTGTGCTTGTGGGTAAGCATGTGAGATAGAATGCTCGTGCACATGTGCATTTGTGTTAGCTTCATTTTAGCACTTGCCCTTTCTGGTGTGACCTCTGAGCCATACGCAGCACCTGGGCTCACTCAGTATGCACATACAGATGAGGACCATCCAAGACCTGAGCCAGAGATGCAAATATCATACACACATGCACACACGCACACACACACACACACACACACACACACACACACACACACACACACACACACACACACACACACACACACACACACACACACACACACACACACACACTATACCTTTTTTGTATTACATCCTCTTTTATATCCCCTTGCCTTTTGTTTTGCTATTTCTGTCATCTCCCATTTTGTCTGTGTGTTTGGTTTGTGTGCTGAGATATGTTGTCTTGAAGTATGTATGTAAGTTTGTGTTGTGGGGATTCAAGGTTGCACTGGCCCCCTTCTCCCTGTCTGGCATTTCCTATTTTTTGATTCATCTAAGGGACACATCATAATTGGAATGCTAAGTGATTTTCTATTTGTGATGATTACCCAGAACAATAAATCTGAAATAACCTTCTTTGTCCGGTTGGAGGAAAGGGACGGGCAAGGATACACTCTCTCTCGTACTCATTAACCCATGGTCCCTTTTTGGCTGAAATAAGAGGAGAGCTTGTGTAATTTTAATAGAATTTATCTAGAGGACAGCAGTTGCACAGCTATGCTTTGCCCTTCCTGTGAAACAAAAAAAAAACTTGTGTTCATTTATATAAAAGATAAATATTTGAAATTCTCTAGATTTCTTTCTTTTTTCAAACCTTATATCTTAATCAGAATTGTATCCTTACCAACCCAGGATTTCTCTCAGTATTCTACTACAGTGCTCATAACATGTTGCAAGTTTATAGTTATCCCAGGCATAACTGGTATCTTCATATACAACATTGGAACAATTTCAATTTAATATTAATTTTACAGCAACAAAAGGCCTTCATCTTTTGAAATGTAAAACATTTGGATTTAATTATTGGAATAACAGATGTCAATGACTTTATTTTTTGCCAATTCCATGATGGATAGAAATGGTATTCATGACAACAAAAAAGTGTCTTGTCTTTGTCTGCCATTGTGGTTGCAGAGATACTGTATATACTGTGGATCTGTGAGAAGTATCGTGTTATCCATTGGGGGGTGTTCAAATAATACCCTATACTCAACTAGCTCATATTCAAATTCAGTATTTCATCACATCACCCGGGGATGGCAGTGCTAGTTAACAAGCCCCGGGTCAGAAAGAGGATTGAGGTAAATCCAAAATCTAATTTGTCCCAGCCATTTACATTAAAAAACCAATGCTGTCTATGTCTTTGTTTTCCCACCAAAAGGTCAGAGTCCCTTTGTGTTCCTCCCAATATGCTAATCCCATGACTCTAAGCTGATCTGGGGGTCTGTACTGTTGGCTCAGTTTCCCGATGTTTGGCTTTCAGTGATCACACAGCAGAAGCGTATAATTCTCCTTTACAAAGGACTTCTTCATCAACAATCCATACAAAGCTGGATCTTGCGAAAACATGAACAACACTTGCAATGCACATAAAGTTATGGTTTTACACAACAAGAAGAAACCGCATATCACAGGGGGGAAGCGAGCTGTGAACCTGAATAATGTCCTGGGTGGTTCATAGATATGGGTGACGTATGAGCATGTCTATGCAATGCTGGCACACCCCCAGCTGTGCACTGCTCTGTTCTCCTAGGACAGAGTTAATTCCCTCCCTCCAGGGTTCGAGGGGTCACAGGATAGTGGGATGGAGCGATGAGAAGAGGAGAGTAAAAGAGAGGAGATGGGATTTGGAGATCAGTGCCTGCTGGGCCAGGTTATTTGGAGCAAATGGGTCAGATGAGGGGCATCTGACGTCACTGCCAGGAGACAAAACACTGAGAAAAGGTGAGAGAGCAGAAAAAAAATGAGGTATTAAGAAGAGGCAAGAGATAGAAAATATCCATTCATTGACTGGAACTGAAGGAGAAATAAGCAAAGAAATAAAGTATGGGAAATGTTCAATTATTTAAATCCCGTTGACTGGTGCAGAGAAAGCCCACGGTAGAGCAGTGGAAAAGCAAAACAAAAAGACAGGTAGGATATGAATGGAGTGAATATAGATGGAGAAGAGGAGAAGAAGAGATGTAGGTGGAGAAAGATGAGTTGTATAGTGAGGAGAAGTGAGTGAGGGAGAGAAATGCGAATGATGGTGTACAGCTGGCAGCCTGTCACAGTCTCCAAGGTGTCTCCTGTCACTGTGCTGGCCTGCTGTCACACTCTAGTGGCCTGCCCAGAGCACACACACACACACACGCACGCACGCACGCACACACACACACACACACACACACACACACACACACACACACACACACAGTCATAAAGAGTACACTATGGTCATGAATAAACCATCCTAATCCATAGAGATTATACAGCCACTGGAGGAGGTGGGAGAGAGACAGACACACTGAGAGTGAGCAGAAAGTGATACTCAGGACTACTTTCTGAGAAGTTAGGCTGCAGGCTGTCATGTATGTTATGGTTTAGGAGACTTTGTACACTTAGCGTGGAGTTTCTGTCATTGGGCTCAGTCCAGGGTGCTCTCAGAAAGAGGTGGTAGAAATGGGGTTTTACAATTAAATGGAGGCAATTGTATATGATTATTTCCACTCTACATATATATTTTGTGTGCTATTTGTATTCAGATCTACATGGAATAGCCTATGTGTCCTTTAAAATCAACATGGAATTTTAAATGTATTTTATTATTCCATCAACTTATTTAGGAAGTTGTTTAATGCTCAGGTTTTGCATTGTGATAATAAATGTTCTTAGTTTGGGTCTAAATTGAATTTATAGTGTGTTATTTACTATTAGCAGCTGTTTTTTTTTGGGGGGGGGGCAGGGAGTATTCCTTCCTTTCTAAATGCAGTATGTGTGTATTCCTGTTGCACTCTCTGTCTAGTTGATATGGACACCAATAAGAGACCTATCTGGTCCCCATGAAGGCTCCATTAGATCACCCTGCCATCAGCTGAGTGCAGAGTTTTTGGTCCATTACCCTCTGAGTATGTGTGCATGTGTGTTTGTTGTGTTTGTGAAAGAAGCAGGCTGCCTTCCACTTTGACTTGCAGAGAGAAGCAGGTGCTGGATGACACACATGCAGACCCACAGAAACACATGCGACAAAGAAGGCTTAAAAGCATCGGCGCAGAGGGAAAGAGCTGACACCTGCTTGTCATTACACACTCGGACCAAACTATTAGCGCAATGGTTAGCTTTAGCATTAAGCAACAGCTCTACTTGCTCTGACAACTTGCACAATTTTGAGACATTTTTCAACTTTGTTCCTGTATGATGTTGAAGTTGGGATGTAAGTGTAACAAAACACACTGTGCAAAAATGTGTCTAGTTTTGTGAGCACATGGTAACGTGTGTATATCCAGCCTTAATCCAAACGCATACAGAGATAGACATGCACAGAGCAGCTGAGGTGGGGGGAGAGTCAAATCTGTTTACATGTTTGTTTTTCAGTCTGCCTTTAGTTCAATGGTGCCATTGATCGGCAGACGAGCTGCTTGAAGTGATGATGCTATGCGTCAGAGGCAGCAGATCTGATGTGCCATCCTTTTGTCACATCGCTCTCCTCTAATCCCAGCCAGCAGGCCTCGCCTTTATGTGACTGCTGTTATGCCTGCGGTCTCCCACAGCACTGGGGCTGTGTGCTCTATATGTGTGTGTGTGTGTGTGTGTCTGTGTGTGTGTGTGTGTGTGTGTGTGTGTGTGTGTTTGCGTGCATTTATGCAAGCGTTTGTGTGCACGCAGCACATGTGTGTTGTTGCCTTGACAAATCTATTCAAACCCCGGCCTCCCTGCCTCCGTTGGTGGTGCTGGTGGAGGTAAGGGGGAGGGAGGAGGGCCCTTTGAAAGACTCCCCTCCTTCCCCTCCTTCCAGCCGACTCTAACCCACTGCTCCACAGCCCAGCTGACATCTTCCTTGAGACAGACTGAATGAATTAAAGGCGATACAATGAGACACTTGATGTAGCAGTCAAGGAGCCCCACTGCTCCTGTGCCGCTCCGCACCGCTCTGCCCTCCAGCCCAGGCTCAGAGGAGAGCACATATAGGGCAAAGCAGAGGATCTAAAAATACACAATATGCCAGTGTTTACTGGATGACTTGTCATCTTCCCCCAACACTAAAGCCCCAATCCTGCTCAGTCCCTCATCTCTCTGCCGATTTGTCCATGACCTCTTTGGTTCCTCTTATACTATAACACTTTTCAAATGCAAGCCCTTTCGATTAACAGGACTGAAGAACTGAAGAACTGATTATTTTTTTTTAGATTATATAGGAATTAATCACACATAGGAACCGAACATTATTTTTTACAGTAGGCTTCTTTCTGAACATTTCCCAATGGAATTATTGTTTGTAAAGAGAGTAATAATGCGCTACTTTTTATTAGTTGATTTGAGATTTGCATACATGGGCCAGATGCCTCATCTTGATCATCTCTTGCAATGAGTTTCTATATTTTTTAAAAGCTTAAAGTAAAATCACTAGGGACAGAGCAAGATGTGGCACATGAACAATCAGGCATTTTTTTTTCATAGCTGCTTTAACTGTAGTTGGCTGTACAGTGACAGCAAGGTGCATTTCAATTCAGCGTCTTACATATTGACTGTTGGTTGAATTAATGATTGCTTGATTCAACTTTTTTTATCAGTCTTAATTTGACTCACAGCAGCTCCATTTATAACATACAAATTTAAGTCAGGATTCAAAGAAACATACAATATTCAGAGGCCTTCAACATACCCTTGATCTGGGATGAAGTTCCATATTTAATGACAGAAGTGATATGTGTACAAAAGAGTGCTTCAGTCTGACCTTGTGAAAGGGTGCAACTGTGCACCTCAGGTTTGAGGTTTGACTATAATAATAGTCATAATAACTTTATTTATATAGCACCTTTAAAAACACAGGTTTACAAAGTGCTTTGGAATACAGCAAAATCATACAAAGATCATAGCAAAACAACATAAGCACCCGAAAAATAACCACATCATCAAAAAAAAAAAAAACATACAACAAAATGCCCAACAAACATATTTATCCCACCCATCAGAAGACCCACCATAACAACTATCATAAGATCATGAGAACCAAGGACACACAAGAACCCAACAAGAACCTAACAAGGCTGTCAGCAAGCCTTAACAAACCTTTTCTCCATAGGCTGACTCATAGAGCGTAAAGCAGATTTTAATTGGTGGAACAAACAAACAAACACATGCACCATTGCAGCACTGTAGGACAATCAACATCACTGAAGTAAAAAAAAAAAGTAGAAGACAGAGTTTGTACTTGCCCTATCTCAGTCATTTAAGAAAATAAATCTTTCTTTTGTCTTTTTGCAGACCTCTTCAATGTGGTCTTGAACAACAAACAAAGGACAACAAATCTGTTTGTCTTTCTATGTGTACTGAGCAGTTCAGAATACTTCAATGTTTCATGGAGTGTGCTGGTTGTTTGGATGGGGATTTGTAAAAGTGGAATGTTGCCCTTTTTTTGCACTTTTGTATAGTGTGAAATGTTTGTCTGTGTGTGTGTGTGTGTGTGTGTGTGCGTGTGTGTGTGCGTGTGCGTGCACGTGCGTGTGTGTTTTAGAAATTGGAGTTTTTCATAGATCTTTGTATCCAGTCCCTCTTTTTTCCAGGGCCTCGGGAGTCAGGGTGACTAAGGGCAAAAATGTGAAAGCACATGTGCATTTGTATTTTTGTGTCTGAAGGGTTCACAACGCTGCACATCTTCGTGGGAGACCCCCGCAATGCAATCACTGACCCACACACACAAGCACACGCTCACACAAGCATGCACAACACTGTAATGACTGTCAGGGGCCCAGGGTGAAAGTAAACAAGGGCAGATAAGCAGTGATTCCGAAGGACGCCAGCTGCACATTCTAATCTCTTTACATTTTCTCTTTCTTCTATTGAACTTTTATCTTATCTTGGGGAACGTCTTCTCCTAGATTTCCCTGTGAACCTCCCTGTGTTCCTCTCTCCCTTTTCCCTTGTTTTTGTATGAACCTTACAAGCCACCACACACAGCTCCACATTGCATGGTCAAAAGGGAAGAACACACTTTGATATGTCGTTATTTGTAAACCAAGAGAATGAAATTGAAATCTTGGGTAAGTACACTATTTTGAAGTATCAAAGGGTTTAGTTAATCAACAGAAAACCAGCGATTTTGTAAATGAACACTCGTGTTTGAAAGAACCCAGCAGGTACAAAGAGGGAGTGCCACACAGACAGGGAGATGAAGACAGCGCACAACAAAAAAAAAAAACAGATGAAGAGGTCTCCTCTTCTTTCTGACAGTAGAGTTGTCAACCGCAGGGGGTTTGAGAGGACTAGGGGTGTTTGCAGGGGGTTATGGGTCAGCAAGCTGGGCAGACACCCTCCCCCAGGGCACCCACTGATCATGCATGGTAGAAGGCCTCAGACTCCACCACAAACAAACGCCAAGCTGTCTGAGCAACATGTCACACGGCTTTTAATTGCGTGTTCTTGTCTCTCTCTCTCTGTCTCTCTTTATCTCTCTCTCTCTGTCTCTCCCCCAGCCTCGCTCATCCTCACACATCTTTTCTGCTTACTGACCTTTCCCCCCCCCTGTCCTCCACACCTGTCCCAATTTTCTTTGTCTCCCATACCTTTTTATTCTTACTTCCTTCTGCCTTCTGCGTACTTCTCTCTTTATTTCTTACTGTTATCTCTTTGGGTTTCTTATTATAATCAAAAACCTCAAGACAATATAAATACACTTTAGAATCAAAATCCATGCCTTTTTTATATTTCAGTCTGTGCGTGTGTATTCCTTTGTGTATGTGAAAACAATATTCAATCATAACTCACTGTGCTTAATAGATATACAATCCCAAGTGTTTTTTGTTTCTCTGTATTATTTATTTTTCAGTCTGTGAGCACATATTTGTGTTTGTTAAAATAATATTGAAGGCTAATGGTTGCCAGGTTTACATTTCCCGCAAAGAAATCCTCAACATGCCATAAGTAATCCATATAGAAGTCGTTTAAAATGCCTTTAATGGAAGAACTAAATCTGCACTCAGAGTTTTTAATCACTAACCTCTTTTTCTCTCTTCCTACAGCACTGTTGTAACTGGGTATCCAGTCCAGAGCCCCTGGACACACCGCTGGATCCCATGCTGACTGACTGCCCCCGAGTCTCTGCAGGTAGAAAACAAACTGTGTAGGAGGGCAATTCAGCACTATTTAAAATGTTACAAAATATCTTTTTCCAGCATATTATTAAATGATTGTTCAAGGGATTTGACTTTTAAAAGAGCACTAAAAGTACTGATACACTAGCATGAGGTGCTATGTACATATTATCTAGCGTTAGTGTTTAATGTTAGTTTGTAACTTTTTAAAACAAGCAGAAAATGTCCTAATAATTCAAATACAAGGAGTAAACGTGATGTGTTTATTAGGCACTATATCTTTCCAGTAACAGCTAATGCAATAAATCAAATTGAGACTGTCACAAATGAAGTTTCAGTTCTAGTAGGTTAAATTATTTGCTGGAGTTTCTTTCTTAAATCACTGTGCTTAATAGAAATACAATCCTACAAGTTTTTTGTGTATCTGTGTGTGCTTTCTCTGTAGTAGTGCACATGTGCTAGTGCAGTGTGCTATGTTGACCATGTTTTTGTATGCACATGCTTGTGTTTGATGGGTAGATATGAGTTCTGTGTAGAGCTGAAACTAAGAAAATACCGAAGCAGCAGCAGTTTAACTTGAGTCACACACAGAAACAGAGGCCGTCTCATGCACGCCACAGAAATGTGCTTTTTTGATTTTTTTTCTATTTTTGTCTTCTTTGTGGCGCCCTTCTTTCTTTTTCATTATCGACTCACTCTCCTATATTCATTAATCCTCTCCTGTGGTGTTTGGCTTTCTGGTCTCTGCGCCCTCTCCGTGGTTGACTGGCCTTGATGATGTCACAGCCATCATTAGAATGTGTCCTTAATGTAGGATTAGGGATGAAAGCTGTAATCCTCGACATGACCGTTGATAAGAGATGATGATTGCAGTGTTGTTTGAAGAGTGACACACATTCAGGAATGCACGCACAGGCGCGCATACACAGGGACAAGAGGAAAGTCAAATATTAAGAAACAATATCTATCAGACATAACTGTATAATTCATCTGTTTTTACCTGATTTGTTGAAGCATCGACTGATACACGTGAACACATACAAAACACTCTTACTTGCACACACACACACACACACACACACACACACACACACACACACACCACACTTATTTCCATCATCATTCTGGAGGTCTTTCATTCTCTTCAAAGCCCTGCAGTGACATCACGGTGAATGTATAGGTCATCTTACACATGCTGCATATGTCAGTGAATACATCTCTAACACTGCTATCTCATCTCTGCTACTAAAACACCATGTTCCACACTGAGCTGCGTGGGAGGGTGGCCTTAACATCTACCAGTGAATCAGCTCCTTGAAATGTCATCCAGCCTTCAATACAAAACCCAATACTGTATTTCATGTTCAAATGTCACTTTTTTAGCCTTGATGTTTTATGTCTCGTCTAAGGGACTGCTGTCGGTCAAAAGATGGCAACCTTTGAGCCAAGATATTGAGCTCGACTTTTCAAAATCCGTTGGCATGCCTGACATTGTCCTAACACAGACCTGTTTGACACAGCGTCCATCTGTATCCATGCACTATTGACTTGTGCTCTATTGACTTCTGCAACTTTAAACCAAGCTGAATAGATCTGAGTCCCTGGCCTGTTAACAGAGCTGCCAATTCAGCTTGTCTCTGGTCTTTTGGTGGCAGCTTCTGATGTCAAAGGTTGTCTCTTTCGTCTTTGTGTCCTTGGCAGCCTGGCAGGTTTCACAGGCAGCGGCCATTGTGGTGAGAGTCACAGCAGAGCAGCAAAGGGGACAAGGTTGAGAGAAGGCTGTCAGGGCATCATGGCCTGGCACTTCAATCAAGGCACATATGAACACACACAGCTCCCAACAGTCAACTGTTCTGCTGCCATGACGGCTGTTGTCGGCGTTGCTATGTTAAGAGTATGTGCTTGGGTGTAGGTGGGGTAATCAGGGTTGACCACAAAGTGTCTCGGCAGAACAGAACAGAACAGAAGAGTGAACCCTTGCCAACTCTCGACCCCTCACCCTCCTGATAATATGACACACACACCCCCCCCCCAGGTGCCAAGAGAAATCCTACTGGCTGTCTTGCCAGAGAGAGGGTGGGACTTACATTCAAACTAGCTGCAGTATGTTTTGTGGCATTGTAGTGTAGCATATTTTCTGTAATTGGTGCATTATACTATTCTTTTTTGGGTCCTTCAAGGACTAAGCATTGGAGATTTATGTTGTTTTTAAATTTAAAAAAAAACACAAGAATTAGGGTGCTGGTGGCCTAGTGGTTAGTTTGTACACACCATACAGAGGCTACATTCCTGGGATCGTATCAAACCTGTGGCTTGTTTTCCTCTTGTCATTCCTCACTCTCTCACGCCTTGATTTCCAACTCCATCCACTGTCCAGTCTCTCTTCTAAGGGCATAAAAATCCCCCAAATAAATCTTATTTATATGGTAAATAAATGCTATTTGGACAAGTTTCATGTGTGAACACAGACTTTAGGCCACCCCTGACTAAGTCAATGTCTGGGTTGGGTCACCACAGTCAATCAAATCTGGAAACACCCCTGATCACAGTGATGCCGGTATGGCTTCTGTTGGGAATGATAAGTGATCACACACACACACACACACACACACACACACACACACACACACACACACACACACATAAACATACACATTTAGATGTCTAAAGGGCACTGAGACCGGGCAGTATAAACATGATGGAAGAACGTGTTAAAGACCAAATCTTGATGTTCCGCTTATTCTGCCTGTGTATCTTCTCTTCCTTCTCTCCTATCTCTTTCATACTTTCTATATTCTTCTCCCTTTCGCCTCCTCCTGAATTCTGCCTTACTGTGCAGTGCAGTGATGATCTGGTGATTGTGTTTTTCATGCTGGTAGATTCTTGGCAGAGGCAGGGAGAAGTGGAGTCAGAGCTTGTCTGTTATTCCTAATCATCTGTGAAGCAACGTCAGTGTACCAGCATGGCATTCTGGTGGGGCCTAAGAGGGAGGGAGAAAAACACATGGCAGGAGTGTTCACTCACATTATTCTGCATGTACTAATCTTCCCTCTGTTCTCTCTGTCCTTTTTTAAATATACTAAAAGAGGAATATGCTCCAACAAGGAGGACATTGCTCTGGCATTTCGCAGTGGCCTGGCACACTTACAGAATCGTATCAGGTCGGATCTATCCCAAAAAAAAAAAGCGAAATATTCAGAAAAATGTTAACCAATCTCCCGCTGGAAAAGCGTGTATGTGTGGGGAAGTTGCAACAAGGCAGATGTTGGAAAAGGGGGGTGCTGGTTAAGTGGCTGATGCTCACCATGGTAATCATATATTTATTCCAAATCTTAATTTGCTGTTAAGATGTCAAAAGATGCATAAAAACAAGATGTGAGAGAATGAAGTTGAAAGTAAAGACAGGGGAAAAACACGCTTAGGATGATTTTTCTTGTATGGGCTCCTCTGTTGCTGCTTCTAAGTTTATTGACTTTTTCTGTTGAGATGGATGATGGCTCGTTTGATCAATAAAGATGCTATTTCAAAGGTGGGAAGCCCCCTTTTGCTAATAAAACAGACATGCTGTACATGAGCACACACATGAACACACAACTTCCTCTTGGGTGATTACTCATTGTCCAAGCTGATTATTAATTACAAAGGGAGAGCTCTCTGAAGGTAAACACTGATTAATGGCTAACAAAAGTAAGTTAATGTCTTACCTGTACTTTAATTACCAACCCTGCTCTGTTACAAGCATCCCAACACAAGGCTGTAATTAACCCTAATGGACTGCACAAAGAGATTCACTTTCATTTTCTTTCACAACATAAATACACAACTGAAAGTAACTGTTTAATATGCACACCTTATGTGCTTTCCTACTAGGCTTTCCATAGTTAAAAGTGAGGACGTTGCTGAAAGGATTTCTTGATTTTCTAGTATCTTTCATGAAATAGCAGGGAGTTGGCTGAAAAAGTGATGCAATATTGTTAAAGAAATGAGAAATAATTTCTGCAATGACATGAGAGGTCACTCTGCCTTTCTTCTTTACCTAAGGCTCGCCCTGCTGTAGCTCAGTGTTATTAATGTAGCAAGATACCACAGAGACACAAAAGAGTGTCTGAGAATCAGAGCAGGCAGACAGGCTGATACAAAGAACACACACACATGCGCACGTTCGTTGTCACGCTCTTGTTGTGAAAGTGCACTTTCCTGCCGTAGGTTTGAATTGACTGTAACCCTCACCCCCCCTGATCCACGCACGGCTGACCGTGAAACACCTCTATCTGTCGGCACTTCTTCATCACACAAGCGACGGCACACACACCCACTTACACACACACACACACACACTGTCTGACTGACGTTTGTGTGACTTAACTCTTGAAGAGGAAACTCAGGCCCTCTCGTATTGACCTCACGCCCTTCATCCAGTGTTTTTTCAGCTTGTTAAGGTGGAAGTCCGCTGCCTCAATGGAAGATCATATGAAAATGTCTGTGTGTTTGTGCTTGTGTTTTCAGATATGTGTTTCAGTGTTTTCTTAGCCGAGCCAGCACACTTTGCACCAGCGTTGCAGGAAATAGACAAGTAAACTCCAGTGAACTGGACCCCGACCTCTGACCTGGATTCACTGAGGTTGGATCAGGCTATTGTCTGGGTCAGACCATATCATAATGATGTGGAAAATGCTGAAGCCAAAGACTCCAAATTTCTGGGATTGTTCTTTAGTTCATTGTTATTGAGTACTGATTCTTTAACTGTTCAACTGTATCAACTCAAGTGGATTTATTTTAGTTGATGTAAAGGGGTCCTTTTATATTTCTGTTTTTCATTGATATTATGAGATATATAACAGAAATTAGTAGATGAGAAGTCAAAATTATTAGATAAAAAGTTTGTATTTTATGAGACATTAATCCATAATTACGAGACAATTGTGAAACAGTAATATGTAATTTGTAAGTATTTTTTAGGACTTTTTATCTCATAATTCACCCTTTTTATGTCATAATAATTACTTTTTATCT